TCCTCTCTTTCCACCTTTCAAATATAGCCACTATTTAGGTTCCCCTGCAATAAGAAAGCCCAAGTGCTACAGCAGCCTCATCTTTGCACAATTGCAGAAAGAAATAGGAACCATTTTCTTCAATGCAGAGACACCTATCACTGAAAATTAAGGAAGAACTCAGTTTCTGACAGGCGTTTGTGAGTTAAAGCAGCTACAAGTAGGTAAGAGATACGTTTACTAGAATAAAATTACATGTTGTGCTGCTCAAACTGCCGTGCACAGTCACACTGCAAGTTAAGAAAGATTTCCTTTGCAAAATTTTTTCTCCACCATACATTATTTTTTTCACACTAATCTCTCTTTCCTTAACTAAAGCAAAATCAAAACAAAATACCCATTTTTGAGTGGGCGACACAAAGTATGTAAATACTGTCTTTTATTTAATCTAAAACCTCGCCAATGAGTTTTGTATTTTATCTCCTAGGGCTAAAAAAACAAAACAAAACCAAACACCAAATGCCCTTTTTCTTGCTAAATCCCTTTTATGTGTAAAGTATGAACAAAAAGGAAGATTTCTTTGCTTCCCACATAATTTCTATATTCAACTTTTTCCATCAGCTTTTCCCTTTTTAAAACCATGAATACCGTTATCAAGATAATCTAAATGTATAGAAATGGATAAAATAGGAAAAATTTTTAAAGTGGTATTTAAATTGTTCTTCAGTTACTTTATGCAATGATTTGAAATACTACTTTTGAAATACAACAGTGAAAACAATCTCTCTAATATATTGCCTAATTATTAAAAATTTTACAGAAACAATGACTACAAAAAAGTGTGAATTTTAGTTTGTTCTCTAAGAATATTATCTATTTGCCAGTGACTAATTAAATTATCATTTTTACAGCATTTAAACTACGTTTTAGAATACCCACTGGGCTATGTTATCACATATGTTAAAAATAAACCCATTTGAGGCTGGGTGCGGTGACTCACACTTGTAATCCCAGCACTTTGGGAGCCCAAAGTGGGTGGATCACCCGTGGTCAGGAGTTCGAGACCAGCCTGGCCAACATGGTGAAACCCTGTCTCTACTAAAAATCCACAAAAAAAAAAAAAAAAAAATACTAGCCAGGCCTGGTGGCATGTGCCTGTAATCCCAGCTACTCTGGAGGCTGAGGCAGAAGAATCACTCGAACACAGGAGGCAGAGGCTGCAGTGAGCCGAGACTGCGCCACTGCACTCCAGCCTGGGCTACAGAGCAAGACTTTGTCTCAAAACATAAAAAATAAAGCATTTGTAAGACACTGGTGATATATAGACCTGAGTGATAATGTTCAAAGAAAAAATCATATTAATGGATTTCTCTCCTCTGAAACAGCAATCATGATTAAGAACAGCTAATGACAACAATCATAGGGGCCTATAGAATACATGGCTTACCCTAGCAAATAGTATACATGTGACCTTGATAACTAGCAGAGAACAGTCATCAATCAGCTACCTTTGAAGATACATGTATTAGTCCATTCTCATGCTGCTGTGAAGAAATACCTGAGAATGGGTAATTTATAAAGAAAAGAGGTTTAAATGACCCACAGTTCTGCATGGCTGGGAAGGTGTCAGAAAACTTACAATCACAACTGAAGGTGAAGCAAACATGTCCTTCTCCACATGGCAGCAGGAGAGAAAAGTTCCAGACAAATGTGGAAAAGCCCCTTATAAAACCATCAGACCTCACGAGAACTCACTCACTATCATGAGAACAGCAAGGGGGTGACCACCCCCATGATTCAATTACCTCCCACTGGGTCCCTCCCATGACAAGTGGGGATTATGGGAACTACAATTCAAGATGAGATTTGGGTGGGGACACAGAGTGAGACCATATCAGTACACTAATAAGAAACATATGTAAACATAGTAAATAAATATTGTTTTAAGAGAGACCATCTTTAAACACATTTGATATTAGTTTATCTCCTTTCAAATTCTGACGTTTAAGACCCTTGTAGAGAATTTTGTAGGGAAGAAGGCTCCCAAGAACTGTATATTTTTCTTTAGCACCCTACCTAAACAAGAATTAACATTAACATTAATCATTTGGAAATGTGCACAATGATGTATCCTTTGTTCGCCTAGAACAAAGGCAGTCCTAGTGTAATAATTAAAAACTAGGCAGTCCTAGTGTAATAATTAAAAACTAGGGCTCTGGAGTCAGAGATCTATGCCTATAACAATAGCACCTATCTTACAGGATTGTCATGATTAAATAAATAAAGATATAGGATGTAAAGTCTTTGGCCTACTGCCTCAAGCAAAACATACTATCAATAAATATTTCTTATAATTATTAATTATATTAATTATATTTATATTAATTATATACTTAATTATATTAATTATAATATAATTATTCAGAAAAGCTATATGGGAAGTTTACAAATAGGAAAAAAGATGGAGGTTAAATAGTACCACAGGCCACATGTGACTCATGAAGATGAGGTGTGAATACCCATCTAAAAAATCATACTAATTTTCATAACAGTATTGAAAATCCATTTTTGTTTACCTGCTAAGAATTGAGTTCAAAATGTCATATATCTCCAGCAACATTTAATGATAGTGCTAAAGCACAAAAGATAAGATAGAGTGTATTTTCCTCAAGTACTTAGTTACTATGATTTTTAAAGCATTTGCATTAAAAAAATCAACCGCCAGAATTAAATCCAAGAATAAACAGATTTTTTTTCTCTTTTGTTTCAAAAGGCAGGTATACAGGATAATATGCACCAGCACCGGCTATAATCAATTACAGTAGTTCCCTTATCTGGTGGGCATACGTTCCAAGACCCCAGTGGATGCTTGCAGTCCTGGATAGTATTAAACCCTATATATCCTATGCACGAACTTATTTTTCCTTCTTTACAATTGCAGAGATAGAAGATCCATTCTTACCATAATTTTTAGCATACGATATGTTAACCTCAGCATATGATTTTTTTTTCTTTCCTTATTTTTTTCTATCCTTTTTTTTCTTTCATTTTACTTTCCTAAGTAGAGAACTTTCACCTTTTCACTTAAAGGAAGCCATATTGCTTCTCTTCGGCTTAACCCAAATTGCCAGCATCAACACTCTTGTGCTTTGGGCCGTCACTATCTAAAATAACGATCACTTGGACACAGCACTGTAATACCTTGACAATAGATCCAATAAGTGAGATAGCTACTAAGTAACTAAAGGGCAGGTAGCATCGACAGCATGGATAGACGCTAGACAAAGAGATGATTGATCTCCCGGGAGGGTATGAGTCTTCATCACACTACGCAGAACAGCACACAATTTAAAATTTATGTATAGTTTATTTCTGGAACATTCCATTTAATATTTTCAGACCACAGTTGACCAAGGGTAACTAAAACCAGGGAAACCATAGGTAAGGGGGAAATACTGTAGAACATTTGGGAGATGGTATCTCATTGTGGTTTTGATTTGCATTTCTCTGATGGCCAGTGGTGACAAGCATTTTTTCATCTCACACCAGTTAGAATGGCAATCATAAAAATTCAGGAAACAACAGGTGCTGGAGAGGATGTGGAGAAATAGGAACACTTTTACACTGTTGGTGAGATTGTAAACTAGTTCAACCATTATGGAAAACAGTATGGCAATTCCTCAAGGATCTAGAACTAGAAGTACCATATGACCCAGCCATCCCATTACTGGGTATATATCCAAAGGATTATAAATCATGCTGCTATAAAGACACATGCACACGTATGTTCACTGCAGCACTATTCACAATAGCAAAGACTTGGAATCAACCCAAATGTCCATCAGTGACAGACTGGATTAAGAAAATGTGGCACATATACACCATGGAATACTATGCAGCCATAAAAAAGGATGAGTTCGGGTCCTTTGTAGGGACATGGATGCAGCTGGAAACCATCATTCTCAGCAAACTATTGCAAGAACAGAAAACCAAATGCCGCATGTTCTCACTCATAGGTGGGAACCGAACAATGAGATCACTTGGACTCGGGAAGGGGAACATCACACACTGGGGCCTATTATGGGAAGGGGGGAGGGGGGAGGGATTGCACTGGGAGTTATACCTGATGTAAATGACGAGTTGATGGGTGCTGATGAGTTGATGAGTGCAGCACACCAACATGGCACAGGTATACATATGTAACAAACCTGCACGTTATGCACATGTACCCTAGAACTTAAAGTATAATAATAATTAATAAATAAATAAAGAGCATTCAGTGCTAGAAAGTTGCTTTTCAGCACTGCTTTAGTTGAGTTCAATATAAAAAAAAATTGTGTTAGTTTACATAACTTTTCTTGGGATTATATAATTATTCAATTGTATATTATATCATGCAGAATCACTGTGCTTGGGGAGTGTCCCACAGCCACATGAAAGTGCCCTTCTTGCTGTCTCTCCATTTCTAACTTTTCTGTTTGAACTTGTTCACATACACATAAATAATGGTGACTTCACAAAAAACAAAGTTCCATAAGACATGGATTATTTTTTAATTTCAAGGATTGGGCTGGAGAGCTAAAGGAAACTACATAAAGAAGAAATGCCAATGTAGTCGATGTGATTTGTAAAGAGGTTCCTTTTCTTTATCACTTCTCAGAGCAAAATCGTATCCTGTCAAATATACTAGGCAATTTAGTATTTATAGGAGACAGTTTTATATATCAGATCTTACTGATGAAAATTACAGCTTGTTTTTGCTGAATCAAAAACCTACCTCTGGTCGAATCTTAAGTGTATCACTATATAGCAAAACTTCTCTTTTATAAATGTGAATATACACAATATGTAAGAAGAAATTAATTCATAAAATAATTAGGATAATGGTTTTAATAGAACATAGTAGCTACCAAAAATGTCCCTCTAGATAGAATTCTGTATCTCTAAGGAAAATTACACCCAACTCAAGTCCTTTAGTGAGTGAGGCAAGGCAGAAATAAGTAAGTGAAACAATTTCCTACCAGAACAAAGTGATCCTAACATTTCCTTTCTTCCAGAAAGCTCTTGCGGATTTTCCCCAGTCAGGATAGGGTTTGTCCTGAAGCATCATATCAGTGACCTGAAGCAATGAAAGGATCTTATTTAGCACTTTCAGAAATCTTAAAATCAGATTTAACTATAAGCCTATAATTTACATTCTATTGAGAATAGAATAAGTACACATTTTAACATTATAACATATGCAGAAACAAAAATTAGGATATACTTCATTCAATTAAAAATTCTAATAGTTTATTTGACTGTACTGTACATATGGAATAAGCACATTTAAAGTCATTCAACATGTCAAATATTAAGATTTTTTAAATATTAAGATTACCTTATATAAAGAAAGTACCTTTGAATATTAGTTTCACCATAGAAACAAAGCATATGTAACAAATAAAATACTATATTCTTTAAAAGTTTTTCTAAATCTAAAACTCAAGCATTCCCTGATGTCTAGATTTTTAGTGATATCATTAATCAAAATATTATCTTCTCTTTTCCTCTTCCTTACTTCTTCCAACTATATGTGTGGTAAACTACTCGTACCCAGTTTTATAGCATATTTATTCTAATTAGCCAGCATGCTCTTACCCACAATTCTATGCCTTCATCTAAAAATGTTCTTCCTCTTTTCCTCACCTGCACAGATTCTGCCCATCTTCTGAGGCCTAAGTCATATCACTACTGTGATGTCTTCACTGTTCTCTCCCACTTATAGAAAACTTGTGGTTCTTGACCCATCCTTCTCATGTCATGTGTCACCTTCTACCTTCTCTTTTACTTACTTATGTACTTTTTTCTCTCTTCACTAGACTTTGAAATCCTTGACGGTGGAGATCTTTCTATCCCTTCTAATGTCAAAGGGATTTTTATATACTAGACCAAAATATTTGCTCAAGAAGAAATGATAAAATAAATTAAGATATAAATACCTGTTTTTAAAGATCCATTAACAAAATACATTGCTCATTTACCACATCACATATTAATGATTTCAGCAGAAGCCCAAAGTATCATAAATAGTTAATCTATTAGAAAGGTATCTTAAAAATCCAGTGAGGATGGAGAATAAATTTCCTTTAAAAAAGTGTTACACAAATGCGTGTGTATGTTACACACACGCACGTTTCCCATTTCCAGAAAATCTGCCTTCCCTTCAAGAGAAGAGAACACTATTCCAATACTTACTATTTTGATTAATAATGTTCAAATTCAGACAAGATAGATTCAAAATTATGAAAACAGAAATGAAATGAGGTTTATTGCATTGAGTAAGAGAGAATTTTCATCATCCACTAAAATAAAATTTTCTCTTGTGCTTAAAAAGCTTTATCATTGCATTTAAGTGTAGCTTTCAACAGTGGCCTTGATATGGGTGAAATTTAATCATTTATGATGAAAGATGGTGATTCAGTGGGGAGTACTGTTAGATCAGTGACCCCTTCAATAGTACTGGATTTCCTGTAGAAGGCACATCAATTCTCAAGCAGGGGCATCCAAAATGGTCTCTGGAAACATTCACCAGCATGTCACTGCTTCACATGCTCACTTAGATGACACAATCAGAATGGTAGATAAGGATTCTAGTTTACAGGAAAGATCTGATATTAATTCTTCATATTATTTCTCAATGTCATTTCTAGGAATAGAGTTCCCAACATTCTCTTGGTTGATGAGAACCAAAGATAGTCCATTCTCCTTCACTGAGTAACACTACAGATTTATGTAGGCTCTATCTAACATAGAGCCTACAATAATTTCACATGATGTGGCTTCATTGTTGAATAAAAAAAGATTCAACAATCACGCATGGTTTTAATATAAACTTTCAGTTCATTTCTCTTTAAACTGTCAATCACCATCAATGTGAATGCAACTAATATTAAGAATTCAAAAAGGAAAACATTTTTTACTTATTTTAAAAGGGAAACTAGTTCATCAATGATTTTTTCATCTGTTTATCTTCTTCTTGATCCTTTTAAATTACAGGATTATATTTTCTCACTCAAATTAATGCCCATGGATAGTATTTCCCATCAAAATGATTCATGATACTTATCAAAAAGAGTAAAGGGAAGATGGCAGAATAAAAATTAACCATGAATCAAGTGAATTACACTGTTACTGAAAAAAAAATAATAAAGGTGAAAACAGAGAAATTTAAATCTCACATACTCTTAGGAATAAAAAGAGCTTTATATCATAACTCCTCTTGAGGAAAAAATTGCTATTTTTTCCCAAATACAATTTCAGCCACTGTACCTTTATAACTTTCTTTAATAACAGGTCTCATGTCAAATATTTTAACAAAACCTAAAGGTTACATGAATAAATACGTAAATAAATATTTCTTGTTGCATCAGACTTTTAAAAGATTTAATTAATTCTCTTCAGTAATATTTATCCTGTTCCAGAAAGAATCAACATGGTAATAAATATTTCCAAGGAATAGAATGATTACTGGGTGGGTTTCATTCAATTTTCAATGTTTTCTCCAGGGCACTTTCTGGGAAATACTTATTATATTTTCTAGAAGGAAGCAATCTGCTGCTGTATGACCAATTATTACAGCTGCATGTTTTGTAAAAATGACATTCAAGGATAAAGTATTTTCCCAGGAAAATGGTGAGATGAAGCAAAAAAACATTCTTTCAGATGCCAGGCAGCTGATCTTTGTCACCTCCAGCTCGAACTCTTTATTTTAGGTCATATCATCAGATCAATGTCAGGTCACTTGCAGCTAAATTGGCAGGAGCAGAGACAGTCATTAAAGGGATGCATTCCATAAAGAAAAATCCAATTATCTCCTGCATTAGAGAAATCAAATTCATTTCTGGTGTTGGTCAAGGACAGTCTTTGTGGGAAAAGATGCCGGAAAGGGAGACTAAAGACAATGCCATGAGGTTTCTGTGTAGCATAAATACACAAAACCTGTGAATGCCTCTCTCACAGGCAGGTATTAGAATTTGAAATTGCAAATCTTTCTATGCTGAGCGAAATGTGCTTAACTCTTTGAATCTCAAAATCCTTCCCTTCCCCTTTCCTCTCTAGTAGGTCCCTGTACAGAACTCAGAATCTCATTATGGCACTCACCACATCATGGCTTATCAGATAATCTTTTTCAGTAGAATATAACTTATTTGAGAATACAGATATTGTGCAATCTCAGCAAAAACATGCATTTTGAGGTTTAAAAGTCAGTAAATGATTGTTAAAAAAAATTATCTCTACAGAAATCTAAGTGAAATCCTTGCTGTCCTGTGAGGCGAGCCTGCATGATGCCAGTTAACAGCATGAAAATAGCAATGACGACAGTTATACTTCACATTGGCTGTACAGCTTCATGGATTACAAAGCTGTTAATGGATTTTTCTTATTAAGTATCACAGCAGCTTTGTAAAGTAAGTCATTATTTTCCACCTTTTAGCAATGGAGGAAGAGAAGTCAATGAGGTTAAATAACAGAGCAAGGTCACCATCTATTATACCATTATGTGCACTATTTCCAGAGTCAGCCTGCCTGGGTTCTAACCCTAAATATATCTCTTGGTAGGTTTTTTTTTTTTTAATTTAGGACAATGTAATTAACCTCTCTGTGCCTTGTTTTCTTATTAATCACCTATGAGCACAATATATATATATTAGCAGGTGGTATAATAATTATTGGTGTGTTATTGTTCATATCTGAGATTTCTATCCAGTCACTTTGCTTTATATCAGTAATGTATCACACAAATGGATTTAGAGTCAAAGGATTTGACAATCTTTTCTATAAAGACAAGACTATCATATACTGAACTATTAGAATATGATAAAGACATAATTTAATGTTACAGTATGATACAGTCTATAATTGCTATTTAAAATCAAAGGGAAGGAGGTCACTGAAGGCTGCAGTCTTCTAAGAAGGCTTCATAAAATATTTGTGCGACAAAACTGAGTATTAATTGACATTCTGTGTGATTCTCTACTTTTGCCATTCTTATCTTCTTAGCCTGATTACAAGCTAATTCTCATGCAGATACTACATATACTATATCTAAAGTCATATTTGATATGGTTGTATGCTAAGCATGTGATACTCGTGTAAAATATTGATTTATGAGGGATACAAAGCCAAAACAGAAAAATAACTATGGCTATGTAGTGTCGCTCTTGAGGTAGCTACTAATTGGTGGAGTATCATTTAAGATAATAAATGTTATTCTATCAATAAACAAGCATATACATAAAGGATATTAATGAACATAATATATAAAATTTTATGTGCTAGTATGTCATTTTCTTTCTACTTAACAATATATTGACATCATTCAATATTAGCACATATAAAACTGTTGAGATAGTTTCTTCTTGCTTTAGTCATCCATCATGCCTTTTTAAAAACTGTTTTGCCTTTTATTTTAGGTTCAGGGAGTATATGTGCAGGTTTGTTGCATGAGTAGATTGTGTGTCACTGGGGTTTGGTGTACCAAAGATTTCATCACTCAGGTAGTGAACATAGTATCTGATAGGTGTAAGTTTTTGATCCTCACCCTCCTCTCACCCTCCCCACTCAAGTAGGCCCTTGTGTCTGTTGTTTCCATCATTGTGCCTCCGTATATTCAATGTTTAGTTTCCACTTATAAGTGAGAATATGCAGTATTTGGTTTTCTGTTACTTTATTAATTTGCTTAGGATAATGGTCTCCAGCTGCACCCACGTTGCTGCAAAGGACATGATTTCATTATTTTTTATGGCTGCACATTACTTGATGGTATTTATGTACTATATTTTCTTTATCCAGTCCACCACTGATAGGCATTTAGGTTGATTCCACGTCTTGCTACTGTGAATAGTGCTGTAATAAACATCTATGTGCATTTGTCTTTATGGTACAACAATTTATATCCTTTAGGCATATGCCTGCTGGGAACAGGCCCCCAAATCTGGCCATAAACAGGCCATGAGAAACTGGCCATAAACAAAGTCTCTTCAGCACTGTGACATGCTCGTGATGGCTATGACGCTCACACTGGAGGTTGTTGGATCACCAGAATGAGGGCAAGGAAAACCTGGCCCACCCAGGGTG